CTAATTACCGGAGTGCACCAAATGCAAACTATTGTTGCGTTCCCTAAATATCAAGTCGATGGCAGCATGGACTTTATTAGTGTCTACAGGATGTGATATTTGGGTCAACAATTTACATTTATTAAAAAGTGGACGTGAAACAAGGGGTTTGGGTGACAGTCAAACTGTATGGTTGGTTGCTTGCTCTCACTTCTCTTCATCAAAGTTCAATGTGGGTTTGAAGAAGGTGTAGCTTAACATAATACAACACACAAAAGGCAAAGTTATAGAGAGGCAAAGTTGCATACGAATGTAACTGAACTACGGTTTGGCAGGACAATTGGAAATGCAAGTCAGAAGGAGAGGGTTACGGTACGTGTGTGTGTCATCGCACAACTAGGCTACACTCATCGGGCCGGGCCAAGGTGGGAGCAGTCCCGGACCACCACGGAGACTAGCAAGGGCTGGACGGGGCCAGCACCGGTATGCACCGACCGCACTGCCGCTCAGACCGCAGTGTGATGAGCGCGCGCAATGATAAAGTCGCCGCACTGTGTACCATTGGCTCAGCGTAGAGACGGGGAGAATAGGGGCTAGTTAGCTGGACAAGGGTGGCAAGGGACACGGGGGTGTCTCGCCCGGCAATCGGTTCGGACGTAGCGGTGACGGGCCACTACGACTCTCACTAACACCCTGGGCTAATTCTTACCGCTCTCGCATCGGTCTAAGCTAAGTTAGCTGGTCATTCATATGGTTACATTTCTTCGCCATAAGAATGGTTAATATCACACTTCTCTCGGAAAGGGTCCAACCGCCGCACTACATTAGGTTCCGCTCTCGCAACAAGGGTTTGGTCCGCTGCACCTGACTGACGAGTTAGGGAAATCTGCTCTATTTATAGGATTCTATAGGCTTAGGAATTAATAAAATATGAGCGTCGCTGAACAGCTCAACCAATGAAAACCTTCCATCTCAAAGGGTCACAAGACTTCCTGCTAGAGTCGTGTGCAAGAAACTAAGTGTCGTGTGTAAAAAGGTAAAATACACAATAAGAAGTCACGTGTACAAAGTGTAGAGCCGGGTGCGTGAAAGTGCTTATACCCGTCATCTGTGGCGAATTATTGACAGTTACAGAGTCTGAGGTTTCTGGACATTAGCATTTCAGGGAACCTTACCACACGCAGCCACGTGGAGTTGAATTTCGACATGCCAAAACTGAGCAGAGAGAACACAAGGATAAAGGAGTGAAGGATCACACCAAAGTACAGCATGAATAACTTAATACACAATTAGCGTCTCTGCTACATGTCCATAATACATAGCTGAATAAATAAGAGACCCTGACAAATCCAAGGACCGAGAACGAGTAAAACTAGGGGGCTCTAGGATTCCAAGATTTGCGGGTGCGCAACACCATGTTACTCCACGTATGTTTGTGTCCCATTGCTCCAACAGAAACTCAGTTTATTCAGAACTGCGCACAATCCGTATACTTATCTTCTGCAGACAGCAGCGGTTTTTGTGCTAGCAGACGACGCACTCAGTCGTTGTTGATAAAAATTGACCAACGATAAAAACAATGATTTTCCGCAAAATTAATTATCTATTTAGAATAACAAGTATGTATATGTAGGCAGGGTTTGTTTCTTACTTGCAAGACATTCCAGAGAGAAAACACAATCAACTTTATATAAAAAATATCCACCGCAAACTAGAATATCAATAGAAAAGAAAAGGATGAAAGTGGTGGTATAAACGGGATAGTTTTTGTACGTTAACATATGAAGGCTACCACGTAGAGCCTCTATGCTACCGTTAACATTTTACTTGGACCCAGGCACAAATGAAATACATTTGACAAGTGGAGACATGAGGAATTAACATTCCCATCGTATTCTTGGAAAAAGTAATTATCGCTGTCTCTAAATCCAGATGCAAGCAAAACGTTCCGGTTTTTCACAGTGTCTTCAAGGTAGAATTTCCCCTTTTATCATCCCATTCAAAATAAATCAGCACTCATCATTCGCTGACGCGGTATGACATTTAATTCTTTCATAACTTAGAACGGCATCATCAATTGTGACGTGAATCTTGCGCAGATAATGCTGCTTTCATATACTGTAAATTGTGCTCCTTTATATACCTTCATATCGAAACAAATACAGCATTAAGCATTGTCTGGTAATGCTTCACTGAAAATGTAATGCAGGGCTTTTGAACGGAGCTTCTGAACAGCAGCCCTCTGAAATGGTAACTGCATTGCCTACTGTCATAGGTGTCACCGCAGAAGTAGTGATAGGGCTACCAAAGCCATCGGTATCCTTAATCAGAAAGCAATTATATTGTAATTGAGCAAGCTTTACCCTCATTGCATCATTTTAGCTCACCCCTATACAGTTTAGGGGCAATACTGCATGACGGGGTGGTAGTTCTACTTGGAATTAATACTTTTTTCGATTCTGCGTTGGAGATGACGACTGTTGGGGATTGTTTTGTATGTTGGTGTTCTGTATGAAATAGAGAACGTTTGTTTTCCCCCAAACTTTCAAGAAAGGTTTTCATTACCACAATTCCTCTTATCGCTTCCATCGCTGCAATCAGGGTAACCGTTTCATTTTAAGGAATCGCTGATACAGACTGACTGACCACAGTCAAAATCCCCAGGAAAGCGGGAGTGAGAGGCTGGAATTACACAAAGGATGAGACAAAATGTGTTTATTTTACTTGATCTGAAACAAGTTTCCTTCTCAGGAATAAACTTCAAAATTACAGGTGAATTAGAGTACAATTCCTCTGACAAATACTGAGGAGGTTTATGCATAGGCCTATATAATGCGGTTTTGCTGGGCTTGTCCCCGAAGAACTCATTTGGCCGGGGAAAGGAGGGACACATGTTTCAATGTGAAGTTATCAAATTATACGGCCTATCTGAATTCGGCGCCGTTTTGGGCGGGCGCACCTCGGGCTCCAGATCCAGCAAGACAGTCAACGATGACGTCTTCATACGGGCCTTGCCAGCACCCCTGCAAAGGCAAACAGGAGGCAGCAGGCCACGGTATACAAGCGGGACC